TTTCCCCCTGAAATAACAAAACCCCAAGGTCATGCCACCTTAATGGGTATACTCTGGGAAATCCCAAGTAAGGAATTAACATAATAATCACACCTGGGCTGGTGATATTCCTAGAGTTTAGAAGAAACAAATGCAAAACGTCTTTGATTGACACTGTCAGAAGCCCAGGACAGCATGACAGCAATTAGATGGCAGGCTAGGACATGACACCCTTCATTCTCCCATTAAAAAAAATCTGCAAATAGTGTATGTTTTGGATGCTGTTTATCCTCCCCAAAAGTCATGTTAAATTTAGTCCCCAGTGTGTCAGTAATGAGTCTTACTCTCACAGGGCTGGATTAGTTGCCATGAAAGCAGATTGTTCCAGCGCAAGTGCAGCTTCCTTTGCTTTCTCTTGCTTCCTCCCTTGCCATGTGATCGCTCATTCACATGTAACTGCTTGTCTTGCTTTTCTGCTATGCATGGTGTGGCATGAGGCCCTCACCAGAAGCTGAGCAGACATGGGCACTGTCCTCTTGGATTTCAGAACCATGAACAGATAAATCTCTTTCCTTTCTAAATTACCTAGTTTCTGGTGTTCTGTTACAGCAACAGAAGGTAGACTGAGACAGACCGTTATCCAATAACTTTGGATAACCTTGGAAGGGTTCTATGGCTCCATTAAGAATCTTTTGCAATACGGTAGAGCATGAAACAATAGCAAAATGGAGACCGAATGCACAGAAAGAATCTCTGATGATATCAACGTATCTGAGACACCTGGAGATGGATGGGGACAAAGAAGATGAGCAAGGTTTATCACACTCAACCATGCTGCCTGTTCTTTTTTTTTTTTTTTTTTTTTTTGACAGGCAGACAAGTGAGAGAGAGAGACAGAGAGAAAGGTCTTCCTTTGCCATTGGTTCACCCTCCAATGGCCTCCGCGGCCAGCGCGCTGCGGCCGGCGCACCGTGCTGATCCGATGGCAGGAGCCAGGTGCTTCTCCTGGTCTCCCATGGGGTGCAGGGCCCAAGCACTTGGGCCATCTTCCACTGCCTTCCCGGGCCACAGCAGAGAGCTGGCCTGGAAGAGGGGCAACCGGGACAGAATCTGGCGCCCCAACCGGGACTAGAACCCTGTGTGCCGGCGCCGCTAGGCAGAGGATTAGCTTGTTGAGCCATGGCGCCGGCTGCAGCCTGTTCTAAGGAGGACTTGAGCAGCTGTAACCACTGAAATAACCAAGCTCCATGCCTGCGGCAGACTCCTGAAGAGGAAGATGGTGCTTTACCTCCCCTTAGTAAGGGCCTTCTATTGTGCTGTGCCAAGGTTGAGGTTGCCACCCCTTCCAATGCAATATACATCTCTTACTCTGGAGCCATGACCACTTTGTGTGTGCCCACATTCCAGATCCCAGGGCCATAGACACTACTTATATGTCTACATTTTATGCACTGGCTCTGTAGTACTGAAAACACTTATACCTCAAAAACTGGGGCCACCATTTCTATGGGTTAGTCTTGTTCCAGGTCTCAGGTGACTCAGTTTCTCTTTGTGCACCTGTGCTACCAACCTTGGCTCTGTTGTACCATGAATGCTCATGTCTCTAACAGCTGAGCCACTAGCATTGCAAGGCAGACCACTTCCCACACCCTGGAGCCACTGTGCCACCTTGTATACCCATATTCCATACCCCAGTTCTGTGACCACACCAAGCACACCTAAGCCTTAGAAACTGTTTTTTTTTTTTTTTTTTTTTGAGTACTTAGTGTGTTCCAAACACCATTTTACACTGTTTTAAGCATTTTACACATAGGATTTTACTTAATTTTTAAAACAACACTGTTTTTAGCTATAACTGCTGTTTGAATTTCACATTAATTTGAACCAAACTGCAGCACTAGTAAACTGGTAGAGAAAAAATGTAAATTCAGACAATCCTTTCTCACAGACCATGCTTTTAACCATTTTTTGCTGATGACCTCACCAGAAAAAAATTATAACCACTAAAATAGGAAGTGGGTTAAATAAAATAAATATAGCCAAAGACAGAACTAGAAAGATAAAAATTTTAAATTAGTCAGAATGCAACTTAGAAATGGAAATCTGAGAGAATAATTAGGAGTAATGAAAATAGAATTAGAAGAATCGATAAACTTCTAATATGAATTAATGAAGGAGAGAATTAAAGTAATATTAAGAAAGCATAATAAATGACAATATTTTTTAACTTTGAAGAAAGACATGAATTAAGTGTGGGTGGCAGGGTGTGTAGGGTGGGAAGTATCACTATGTTCCTATGTCTGTACACATGAAATACATGAAATTTGTATACCTTAAATAAGATTTTAAAAGAAGATAAATAATTTAATAAATAAAAATTTTAATAAAAATAGTCATTAATCTCAGACTAAATAAATCCATATTTAGACTAAATAAATCCAATACAGTGAGATTACATAATGCCAAAGATAGAAAGTCTTAAAAGCAACCAGAGAGAAAAAAAACAGATTAATTACAAAGGAGTAATTATTAAATGGATAGAAGATTTTTCAAAGGCTATAAACAGACGCTACAAGACCATGGAATAGTATACTAATACTGGCGAGTCTTTAATTAAGCAATCAATTTTAAAATCTACTTTTGGACTTTTGGACAAATGAACTCACCGGCCCTATAAAAAAAAAAGACCGGAGAGACCAGCACTGAGGCATAAGAGGGAAAAGCCACTGCCTGCAGTGCCAGTGTCCCATAGGCATGCGGATTCAAGTCCTGGCTGCTTCACTTCTGATCCAGCTCCTTGCTAATGCACCTGGGAAGGCAGTGGAAGATGGCCCAAGTGCTTGGGTCCCTGTACCCTTGTGGGAGACCAAAAGAAGCTCCTGGCTCCTGGCTTAAGCTCTTCCCAGGTCCTGTAGTTCGTGCCATTTGGGGAGTGAACCAGTGGATGGAAAATCTCTCTCTCTCTCTCTCCCCCTCCCTCTCTCCTTCTCTGTAACTCTACCAAAGGAAGGAAGGAAGGAAGGAAGGAAGGAAGGAAGGAAGGAAGGAATTAGAAAATTCGAGTTCATAAGGAAAGAAAATAAATATAAAGGATTGGAATTTAAGAAGTCATAAATAAACTTAATATAAGTATTAGGCAAAGGACTAATGGTATAAAGAGGTTCAATTTTCTGGTCACATAGCACTCCAATTCCATAGTGCTCCTATATTGGAGCTCCAAATAAAAACAGTGGCATACAAAATGTAAAAATCCCTGTCAAGCAAACAAGTAATAAAAATTCCCAAGAGCCAAAAACAGAAACTCAAAGCAGAAACTTCAACTGGAGGAAATAAGAGAGAAAAGAAATTAAATGGAAGAATATTTAAGGCAGACAGAATGGAAAGTGAGAGTTCCTGAACTGGGGCTACATTTGATGTATTTGAGGAACATTGTGGTTAATGTGGTTGAAGTGGATTCTGCAAGGGAAGGAGGATGGGAGGACATGTGACATTACACAAAGCCCAGAATCAGACTAATGTTCAATTCAGCTGAGCTAAAATATCATAAAAGTAAAATGAGAGAGAACAGACTATTTAGTAAATGATAGTGGACAACTTATGTTGTCTACCCCACACATTTTTTAAATTCTAAAAATATACACAAAAATGTAAAGAAAAAGCAGTAAAAGTTAGATTCATTACTTGCATAAACCATATGCATGAAATATGGATGACTATAAACAACTATGAAAGTATTATAAAATACATAAGAATATTGAAGAGAACATAATTATATGTTCTAGAAGATAATAGAAAGACAGGAAGACCAAGACATAAAAAGTGGAATACAGCTGCACAAAGACTAATCTTCCATATTTTAAAATTCACTGTAAAAGAAAAGTGAAATGAAAGATTAGACATAAACATTGGCCTTGCATACAGTGGAAGAATGGTCAAAAACAATAATATCTATTCAATGTTCCTTGAGGGGCAGAAAATGACTGGGAACATGTTTAAGAAAGTTTCTGGAATGATGAAAATATTCTATACCAAGACAGAAGTTTGGATTACACAGATGTATGAGTTTGTCCAGTTGGTGGAACTGTGCAACAACTGTGCCTTCCACCATTTGTAAGTCATGCCTCAACTTAAAAACTTCCTATAAAAGCTGTAAGAAGAAGAGAAATGAGTACACAGAAAATGGGCAAAAGCTAAACCAAGGAAACTTTTTTTAAAAGACTTATTTATTTATTTGAAAGGCATAGTTACAGAGAGGCAGAGACAGAAGCAGAGAGAGGTCTTCCAGCAGCTGGTTCATTCCCCAATGGACGCAACGACCAGAGCTGAGCCGATTCGATGCCCAGTTTCCAACGTGGTTGCAAGGGCCCAAGGACCTGTGCTATCATCCTCTGCTGCCCTCCTAGGCCACAGCAGAGAACTGGATCAGAAGTAAAGCAGCTGGGACCTGAACTGGTGCCCATAAGGGATGCCAGCACTACAGGTCGAGGCCTTAACTCACTTCGCCACAGCATCGGCCCCCAAGGAAACCTTTAGGAGAACCACATAGTAACATTCAATTTATGGAAAGATGCTCACTTGCATCAATAATTTAAGAAGCATGAGGGGCATTGGTTATGATACCTTTCTACCCTAAATTGATTGTCTCATATGTTGTTGATGGATGTGTATGTTGATACAGGTTTGAGAAAGATTTAAGAACATTTAACAAAAACATTTAATGTATACAGCCTAAAATACAGTAATCCAAGACTTATAAATTTTTCTTCCAGATAATCTGTCATGAATGCATAAATATTCTTGCACAAGGACATTTGTTTGAGTATTGCTTTTATAGTATAACATTTATGAAAGCCACCTTAATGTCTAGCAGTGATAAAAAAGATTAAAATATGTTATTTTGGTACTTAGTACAACTGAATCGAGCACTTAAAAAAAGGCTAAGATGACCATTTTATGTTATGCATACTTAACACAATAAAATATATTTTATGAATTACTGTAAAACAGAAAACAATGCAGTCTTTAAAAATAATATAATACATCTAAATATAGATTTGAAAATATTTCATGAGTTTGTTATATAGATAAACTTCTAGATATCTATATATTTACATGTACATGTAAGCCCTTATACAAAAATATTTTAAAAAACTTAAATTTTTAACCATGGTTGTCACTTTGTGGTGCTAGCTTGCAGGAAAAACTCTAACTTTTTATTTTATATGCCTTTAAATTGTTTTAGTTTGTAAAAATGGGCATATGATTGCTTTAAAATTATGATACAGTCCTACAGACTACATTGTAATACTTTCAAAGAGTTTGTTAATAAAAGAGGAAACAGCATTTGTAAAACTCTTAGAGGCCATAACAAATACAGAAGTTTGGATGTACTGAAACTTATAAATATGATACATATGTGGATCTTTAGATTGGCCCTTGTACACAAAATATGTCAGCAAAATTGAAAGTAATCACAATAACCTTTGCTGTAACCTTGTTTTACATGTGATTTGGTAGTAGTGACCCCCAAAACCCCTGAATAACATATTTCACATGAAAAGAGGATGCTGAATCATGCAAGAAGCAGGGCTAGGGTTCTGCACTGTGTGAGCAGAGAAAGCATTTGCACAAACTGGTGGTGAAAGCTCTCTTTATGGAGAGTCCTGCAAAATCACTAATCTTGGGTTTGTGCAGGCAAAGCTTCACTGTCTCCACCTTAAGACCCCAGAATTTCTTATCCAGCACCATTTACTTATGTAAAAAGAAGTAACAGCACAACTTGACCTGTTTCTAAAGGAGCCAGCAGCAATCAGATGTTGGTGAAAAAGTCCCTCCCACTTCTCTCTCTGTGTTGGTTCTCCTGAGTGATTTCTTCAAAGTTCATGCCAGCCTTATAGTAGGGGAAGAAATAGTCTTCTACAGAAAAGCACCTGGATGAGGTGTGTTGGAAACTTAATTCTAGGATCTCTGAAGAACATGTGGGTCTGAGACATGGGGTCCTGGGTGGTTTTCCACAAATAGACTCTTCCATCAGGTTACATAGCATCTTCATAGTCCACATCGGTAAAGTCTTCCTTCCTCACCCTAGAATAAATGTCTGAGGATTCCTGTAAGCAAAGGCACAGAGATGGGACCAGGACAAGGAAGAGAAGAAGAACTGGCCTTCCCCTGGTCTTCTCCCCTGGCTAGTCTGGGTGCACCCTCTCGTGGCACACAATGCAGCAATACAGGACATGTGTTGCACACATGCACAATACAGCCTATTGCAGACTGTGGGTCCAGACCAGCCTTTTCAGGGGCCCTGCATCTTATAGGTGGGCTGCAGAGGTGCTCCTGGTGGACAGCAAGCTGATTCAAATGTACAAGGCCTTCCCTCATTCTTACGGGCCATTGTTAGGCACCTCCAGGGGCAGTCATTTTTTAAGAATGTCAGACTATTTTATTCATAAATTAAATTTAGTATGTCACTGGACTTTACCAGGACTTGACTTCCACCCCAAGATATCTGGCAACTACGCTACACTAGACAAAACTACAAAGCACCTGCTGTCCTTGTACACATGCACAGAGTTGCAATTCCTGCAGGTCTCAGAAAGTATTTTTGCATCATCAGTGATAGCTTGAATTGTTCAAGGTTAACAAATGAGTGAGTTTTCATGGCACAATCATTATTAGCTTAGCTGCATTCATTATTGTTATAGTTTGCTGCAGATGGCTTTGTTAACTTTACAATACAAAGTGACAGGTGTATGATCCAGCGGTATGCTAGGAAAAATTGAGTTTTCAAATAAATGAATTTTTAGACTAGGTATGCATCACGATTGAACTATGAGTCATCCTTATGCCTGTAGCTGGAGTAAATGCACATGTGCAGCCCCCAAATTTCCTTGTACAGTGACACTTCATGGTTATAACTATATGTTTTTGCCTCCAACTGTTTTGGGAGATAAAGGATGATGGGATCTTTTGCTATTCCTAAGCCGTTACAACTTAAGAATTTTGAGAACCAGCCCCTGAAGAGAAGAGAGAGGGTATGAGTAGAAACTCTCACTCACGTTATTCATCACATGGGTCCCAGTAGGTTCAACTGTGGAGGGAAAGGTAAGTGCTGTGAGATTCCACCTGTATTTAGTCCTTTACTGACCTCACATTAATAAAGTCTGCCTCTTCTATCATCTAGTTTCACAGACTAAGTCCCCTTGACATTTATGCCTTGTACTTCTTTCTGTACAAACTTGATTCTCTTGGTTTTCAAAGGAAAATTGGCAGCCTGTGGGGGCGGTGTTAAATAGGACCCTCCTCCAATGCCAAGTAGACTCCCAAGGTTTCTGGACCATTTGTGAATAGGAAGGGACAACATCAGCAAGTAGGCAGCTGTGACAGGGTGCTGCCAGGACTCTGCAGGGCTACTTAAAGAGAGCACCATCTCCAGTGATGCTGAATGGCCGGGGAGTGAAGCATAGAGTAGGTCAGGTTAGCACCAACACTGGGCTGTACTCCCGCCTGATAACCTTCAGCCAGGAACAGCGATGTGTATAGTCAGCTCCAAGGGAAGCTACAACGTCTCTGAAAAATACTGCCATGCTGCCATGTTCAGTCACCGATTGTCCTTTTGGTTCCAGGAAACACAAAAGTCAGAGACAAATTCCTTCCCACATGTCTCACCTGCTGTTGAATCCAATTCCTGCTGGATTTGGTACACTGATGAATAAATTCCATCACCACTTACAGCACTCACTGAAAGAGAAAAAGGGAGGCAATACAACACTGACACAGGCCATTTTTTTTTTTTGTCTCATTTAACTCATTCCATGTCCACCACCAATCACAGCCATGGAAGCAGATGATTCGTTTAATTGCAGGAGAGGCTGGAGCGTAACAGGGCCAGGCATGGCTGGCAGACATCACACTGTGGCCCTTTCCCGGCTTGTTGTACCCTCATTGGCTCAGGTCCCGTGGGAAGCCTCACCGTTTTCATATATAGGCTGTAGCTTCCCTGGATCAAGTGAGTTGAGGTGAGTGGATTCTTGGTGTACTGGGCTGGGAGGGCTCCTGCAAACACAGAAACACATGCTGTCTATCTGGGGTAGGGTCCCAGATATACCAGACACAGCCATCTGAGAAGGAGAGAGCTGTTAGAAAGGTTCTTGAGCAGAATACTAATTACCAGGAAAACTAGCACAGCTCTGGGTACAAGTCCACAGGCTGGGTGAGGCATTGGAGAATGTGTGTTACTCCATGAGTAAAAGGCTCTTATATATCTGATCCCCCCCTCACCCCCGGATAGTGCCATTCACATCACAGGTGCTCAGCAAATATGAAATGAAGAAACATTGACTTATCCCAGATGGAAAGCAGGTGACTGGGCAGAACAAGAACTCGAGGAAGGAGCAGAACATAACGGTCGTGCATGTGCAAGTGCCGCAGAAAGAGTGAAGCTCTGGGCAAAATATGTTTATTTTTGGCAGAAACAATAGACAATTTGGCACTAGAAAAGTATATCAATCAAACATTGGTATTCCTAGATGGAAATATTCCATCAACAATTTTTTGGTATGTTTATTACTCTCTGTCTTGCATATCAGCTAATTCGAAAATGTTTTCAGATTCTCAAGGTGTTTCCATGTTTTCATTCCTCCCAGCAGCCAATGGGAGGACTTACAGACCCTCAGGCAATGGTTGACTGAATGAATACGTGGCTCTGGTCAACAAATCAATGTCACTTTCTTATTCTGCCAAAGTATTGAAGGGGATCAATCAGAAAAACCACGAAAGGATTTGAAATATTTAGTTAATGTGTGAAATGTAAAAGAGGATAAAATAGCATATGAATGTTGAGGGTTGCCAGTAGGAGAACTGGGGTAAGTTTGGGGTGTGAAAAAGGATAAAGATTTATGAGTGGGGACAACTAAAGTTTTTAAAGTAGTTTTTTTTATTATTATTATCAACATACAAGGAGAAAACCAAGCCTCACCTGGGTGGATTCCTGGGTGAGCGTCTTCCTGCAAGTCAAACAAATGAGTTACTTCATCAATGATCTTTCTCAGTGTTTCCTCCAAGCAATCATTTCAAGAGCCTTCAATCTCACAGATGAGAGATTCAGGTCCAGAAATCTAAGTAGCCTTTCTGAAGCTAATAATTACCAGATCTAAGTTTTGAACTCATGTTTCTGAACCCTGTGTCTATTATACATTTTGGTTTGGTTTTGTAACCACAACACCCAAACTTACCATGACAAAAGTCCCTGGAGACACGTGCTGCCACAGTAATGCTATAGATAGGGCAAGATGCTCATAGATGCTGGAAAAGCTTGGATTTTTTTTTTTTTTTTTTTTGATAGGCAGAGTTAGACAGTGAGAGAGAGAGACAGAGAGAAAGGTCTGCCTTCTATTGGTTCACCCCCCAAATGGCTGCCACGGCCAGCGTGCTGCGCTGATCCGAAGCCAGGAGCCAGGTGCTTCCTCCTGGTCTCCCATGAGGGTTTAGGGACCCAAGCACTTGGGCCATCCTCCACTGCCTTCCCAGGCCACAGCAGAGAGCTGGACTAAAGCTTGGAACTTAAATGAGAATCTCCTATTGTCCTCCCTTGCCCCATCCCTACATGCTCAATGGAGAACAGATGACCAAAGTTAACACACAAGGAAATATCACCAATTGTGATAAAGTGTGAAGCTGTATGAGCTTGGACTGATAATAGGACAACTGCAGATGTGTGACCAGGTGAAGCTTCTCAGAGAAAAATAACATCTCAGCAGAACAGTAAGAAAGATCGCATGGTGAGTACAATATGTGGCTATGTGAACAACATTTCAGGGAGAATGGAAAGCTTGTGATGACGCTGTGAGATAAATAGGAATTAACATGTTGACTTTAGAACATGGTCAAGAAAGCTGGAGCTGCTTTGGATTTTTCTCTTTTTGTGGTTGATTAATTATTTTTAATGCTATATTCTGAATAAAAATTAAATTGCAGAAGCACAACATAGCAGTTGAATCTCAAATGAGAGTATATGAGGGATGGAGAACTTTGCTAAAAAATGTTGCCATGCACTGGGGGCTGTGAGCCACAGGCAAGGTGGTTCACAGCATATATTTGTTTTGCAGTACATTTGTCATAAATCAGCCTAACTCAGTAAAAACAAAGGTCACAGTAACAAAATACAGCAATCTTTGTAAATACTAACCTATTTTTTTCTTGAGCCAGCAGCAAAATAGCAGGGCTATGATGGCCGGACCAAGACTGCCCAGTAGCCCTTCCATGACTCCTGCAGTAAGACGATCGCTTCTCTCTCCAGTGGGCACTGTGTGGAGAGACCTGAGCGTGAGCTGATGAGAGGCAGGACTTGGGGTTTGGAAAGTAGATACCTTGGGTGGGGTTTGTGCCCAAAGCCTGTTCTTTCCGGGGGTAGGGGGATACATTTGTTTATCTAGGGACTTGCTTGTTATCAATTTGATGAAAGAAGAGAGGCACCCAACCTCTTGACAGCACTGCCAGCAGCAGGCCCAGCTTTGGTAACACATGACCAGAAGCAGGGTGGCATCAGCAAACCTTCCTCAGGAATCCGGGAAAGAAACACTTGACCAAGACAACTCCACAGTCAGAGTTATACCTTTGACAGCGAGTGTCACGGTCTCACTGTGCTGGAGCTCATGGCCATTGTCAATTTCACAGGAGTAGTTTCCAGAGTGCTCTGCAGTCAGAGAGAGGTTGAAGGACACTCCTTGCCCAAAGGGGACTGAGCTGTTCTCCAGAATAGCATCCTCATGATAAAACCGGTACAGGAGTGGAGAAGAACCTCTGGGGGCTTCACAGTGCAGCTCCACCACATCTCCCACCACAGCCTGGGCCCTGGGAGCCCTGAGAGTGAGGACAGGACGAGACACTGGACCTGAGAGAGATGGAGGACTGTCAGAGAGGGTCCCTAAAGATATGATGGACCCATAAGCACTGCCCACAGAGGGTCCGCCCCATTGAATTTCCTCACGGTATCCCAGGGAAGCAAGGAGCTCAGTCTGAGATTTGCTGGCTGAGCAGCAAGTGGGGGAACTTACTTCTGACAGTGACGCCCACCAGCCCACTGAGTCTGGGGCCGAAGCCATTGTCAGCTGCACAGTAATACCCCTCAGCATCACTCTCCCTCACTGAAGGGATCTCAAATTCTGCTGTCAGGGAACGCTGGGTCTTCCTTTCCAGGTTCAGACCCAGGGACCCTTTGTACCAGAAGAAGGTAATGTCTCCTGTGCCCTTAGCAACGGAGCAGATGAGGACCAGCTTGTCTCCTTTCGTCACCTGCCCCCCCGGGGGCCACGTGTCCAGGCTCACATCAGACACAGGGACTCCTGCATGAACACAAGATGATATAAGAGAACCTTTAGTGGGGAGATAAGGGGAAGGTGTGACAGTTCTAAAAGCAAAGGCTGTGGTGGTAAAGTCAATAATTTATATAATTGAAACTGCAAGTCAGGGGTCTGCTGATCTGGAATTAGCATTAGCTGAGTCAATGGAGGTAGGGTAAGAAGGAAACTGAAGCCTGTGTCACTAGAATATCCCTAGAATAATGGACTCCCACTACTCCGACCTTTCAAACTCTCATTTTATAAAGCTTCAATAATATAGTGTGATGATCACTATATTTATAAATCCAACTACTTGGGTTTGAATGCTCATTCCAACTCTATTTGTTGTGTGTGCTCAATCAAATTACTTAACTTTTCTGAGACTCTATTTTCCATCTGTAAAATGGAAGTGGTAATGATACTTACCTCTTCCAGTTGTGGGGTATCAATAAACAGTGTACATGAAGCCCTAGAATGTGGCCTACTGCGTGCGAACCGTTCAGTGGCTTTGTTGTAGTGATTGTGGTCCAATTTCACCATGTTGAGTTTTTAGCAAGTTTGGGAAAGCCCAGCCTCCTGGAGGTAATAGATATGGGCCTAATGGCATGCTGGATATATGTACATCTGAGAATGAGTGAGAATGCCCTGTTCAGAATCACAAGACACCTTCTTTGCCATTTGTCTTCCAAAATCAATCCACTTCTCTTACACAAGCCCTTCTCCAATAGTCGTCTCCACATACTTACTCTCCAGAACCCTCACCTACCACTTCACCATGTTGAGCTGATAGAGGGAGAAAGCCAGGAAGGCTGGAAGGCCCTCACTGCCATGTCCACCATCCCAGGGCACAGGAGATGTCTTTGTTCTACTTTCCTCCCTAGCTCTGACCCTGGAAGAGCAGCCCCGTGGACACTCACTGTGCACATGCATCTGGGACTTCGAGCTCTTTATTTTGGTTTCGCTGTTCACTGTCTTTGCCTCACACCAGTAAGAGTCTGAGTCTTCCCTCCTTACGGAGGGAATCTGGAACTCTGGGGAAGTACTCCAGCCTGGCTGCAGGACTCGGGTGTCTCTGTAGAAGCGAAACTGGAGCTGGACCTCTGACTTGTGTGGAGTGGGCCGAATCATACAGGTCAAGGTCACTGGGCTCCCCTCTTTGGGGGAGGTGGGCCTGAGTATCAGCACAGGAGGTTGAAGCAGTTCTAGAGAGAAGCATTAAACACAAATTTAAGGCAATGGGGTTCAGAATTTCTGGTGAAAGACACTTTTTGTCTCATTCAGTTGGACACACAAACTACCATAGACCAAACTCAGCCATCACTCCCCCAAGATGGCCCAGGGGCTTCCCTTGGCCATGAACCAACCTTGCTCAGCAGGGCACACTCTGCCCCTTGCAGCAGCGTTGCCTTCCAGAGGGCAATCCTTACCTTTGACTTGGATCTTAGTTTTTGTGAAGTTTCTATTCATTAACTAAAAACACCTTTCTCAAAGCCAGTGAGGGGAGAGTGAAGATTGTCACTGGAGGTGGCCCTGGAGTTGGTGAGGCTTGAGGTTTTCATAAAAGCAAATACATTTCTTTCATCCTGGTTGTATACTCTTTTGGTTATTTTATTCTGTCCTTCTGCCCTGCACCCCCCAAATATTTCAGACCCACGTTATTTCTTTCCAAGGCAGAATATAGGACCTGGAGGACAAGTCAGTCTGGGAAAGACAGAAAGGAACTCAGTTGCCTTTTTGTTGACTCTGTCTTGTCCCTGTTATAAGTGTTCCTACTGGAAGAAGAAGTGTGCCTCATATCCACCATCCACGCAGCCCAGCTCCCTGATCTGGAATGTCTGTACACACTTCTGTAGAAGCCTGGGTATAAGGATCCAATTTAATCCATGCCTCAAGCCTCTTGTATCCCATTTGGGCCTCAGGGGCAATGTTTGGGGTGAATAAAGGTGGCTGAAGCTGTATTCTGCTCCCACCTCTCTCCTTCCCTCCCTCAGTCACAGTGACACACACAGTGTCACAGTCTGTCTGTGACAGCAGTGGCTCTTCAGGCATTTGATTATCTGCCTCTCAGACTGTGCCCTCTGGGAAGCCTTTTAAGATAATTTTTATTTATAGAAGGTGAACAAATTTCATGCATTTCATATATACAGTTTTAAAAGCATAATTATACTTCCCATCCTACCCTGCCTTCCTCACTCCCACTCTCCATCCACCTTCCTTTCTTATTTTTCTTTTACTTTTTAAAAGGGCATACTCCCAATTTTCTTTATAATCACAAACTTAGCTCTCTGTTGAATAACTTCAACAAGTAGCAAGTAGAAAATCATTGCTCCTCAAGAGTATAGACAAGGGTGGGCCGGCGCCGTGGCTCACTAGGCTAATCCTCCGCCTTGCAGTGCCGGCACACCGGGCTCTAGTCCTGGTCGGGGCACCGGATTCTGTCCCGCTTGCCCCTCTTCCAGGCCAGCTCTCTGCTGTGGCCAGGGAGTGCAGTGGAGGACAGCCCAAGTGCTTGGGCCCTGCACCCCACGGGAGACCAGGATAAGCACCTGGCTCCTGCCTTCGGATCAGCGTGGTGCGCCGGCTGCAGCACGCATGCCACGGCATCCACTGGAGGGTAAACCAACAGCAAAGGAAGACCTTTCTCTCTGTCTCTCTCTCTCACTGTCTACTCTACCTGTCCAAAAAAAGAAAAAAAAAAGAGTATAGACAAGGGCTATAAAGAATAATCAATCTCAAAATGTTAATTTCACTCATATGCATTACATTTTTCTGTACTCTGTATATTAGCTACCACAAATCAGGGAAAACATGATATTTGTCTTTTGGGGACTGGCTTACTTCACTTAGCATAATAGTCTCCAAATGCATCCATTTTTTTCCAAAACACAGTATTTCATTTTTTATGGCTGAGTAGTATTCCATTGTGTATACATAGCACAAAATAATTTTTCTTAGAATAAATCTCTTTCTCATCACATAAAAGTTCCATGTGCTCTGCATCACTGATGGGCAACTCCTAGTCCAGTAACTGTAGTCCCCATGTCTTTCTACTGGAAGGCTTCCCCCCAAGACCTTTTAAGCATCACTTTTATCCATGGTACAAAATGTTTGCTCTGTCTTGCGGCATGGAAGACTCCATGTACTAGACTCACTTTTCTCTTGCTGGTGCCCAGAAGGCTGATAAGCAGCGCAGCTCTGGGAGCTGAGCACAGAAAGGAATAGAAAAAGGCCTCCAGGCACCTGTGATCTGTTCTTCTGCTGAGCTGGGGGTGGTGTAGGTAACTGGACAGGGCTGATTGCAAGGGTCTGGAGCTCAGTTTTGCAGTTCAGCACTTGTTTCAGATAACTTTTTTACCTGGAAGGTACCTGGCAGAAGAAACTGTTTCTTCATCCTTGATGTGGTTTTGGATTTCTGCTAAGGCTAGCACTGAGCACTTGGGCTTAGAGGTAAAAGAGATCAGGCATGGCATTAACATATGGCAAAAGTTAGAGAAAGGTCAGGTGAGGATCCCAGAAGATCAGCTTGATTCTGATCCCTCTGGTACAGGATGTCCTGGTGTTGAGCTCCCCAGTAGGTGGCAGGACAATCACTTTTAAGCCTGTGCTTTATGTACAAGAAAGCAATTCTTATCTATGTTAGATTTGAAAATGCTTTAATGAAAGATTACTTTTTTGGAAGGAAAATTTTCTCCTCTGGTAAAGGTAAAACTTCAAAACTAGATCAGAGCACTAAATTAAGTTTGCCTAAACTGGAGTTTGAGAGAAAAAATCTAACTGGGGTAACAGATGTAGCTGCAGTAGAGCTAAAAATTAAAAGGAGGCAGCTGTGCCATTTCATTCCATCTGCGTGTGGCCTGAGGATTGATTACAGGTTGTTCTCCATGGATCTGTGACTTGGGCATTTCCTCTGTCACTCCTGGTGGGGCACACAGGGGACTTTTATCTCTTGAGGCTGGAGGGTTAGAGATTCTTCTAACATGAATCGACAACACCCTCTGCTTTCCTTGTGTAAATGTCATCTCCTTCCCTGTGCTGGAACTTTCCAGAAATAAGACTGAGTTCTTGAGAAGATCAGAGCAAGTTGTGCTCCCCAACCCGAGCAGGCAGGCATGTGTCCGGTGCAGAGACTGGGGTGACCACAGGGCAGCCGGGACCCAGGGGAGTCACTGATGTTTGCCATCTCAGCAGGTGTCACCTGGATGTCTCTTGGGCAGGCAGACTGTTCAGCCATCCACGGCTGACATGAGTGACAAGGCGCCCACAGACCATGAAGAAGAAAGGGAAGTGCAACTCACCGGCTTGTTCGCAGAGTAGAGCTGGGAGAGAATTCAGCAGAGGTCAGTACACAGCAGTGAATCCACAGACACCCAAAGTTCAACTCCTGTAAGAATGCCCCAATGCTATGCCCTCTTCCTGTGCCAGCTGCATGTCTCTATTCCACCCCCCTCACTCCTTTTCCCCCTTTCTTTCCCTTCTTCTGTCTTCCCTCCTGGTGTTTCTCCCTCTTCCTTCCTTTACTCTTCCCTCCTTCTCTCTGCTCCTTTTTCCACATTCCTTTTCATGCACACAACACACGGCTCTTTCTTATGGTCATAAAATGATTTCCAATGATTTTTGTCATCTGTGATGAGGAGATGTCTTTAATCATGTAGCAGGTGCCTCTTCCAACCCCTCATATCACTCCTATCTCCTTTCAAAAGTTACAGTGATCCAGGTCCAGCCTCACTGCTTTACAGAAACAACATAAATAGACAAAGAGGGTAGGTGCAGTATCACACACTCAAGTCATGGGACCCCTTTGTTTATCAACTTCAGCTCAGAGGAGGCTTAGGTCCAGAGAGAGAATTCATATTTCTCTAAAGATTTTCCCCTTTCCCAAGGATTTGACCTTAATGTTATGACATAATGGTCAAAATGGCTTTTGAGCGGAAGACACAAATTTGAATCCTTGTTCTTCCTCTTGCAAGCTGTATGGCCCCAGGAATGTGCTTCACTTCTCTGTGTTTTGGTCTCCTTTTCTATAAAATATGCCTACCTCACAGAGTTTTTGTGATGATTCAATAACTTGATAACCATAAAATGCAGAGAATAGTGCCTGGAATTCACTTAGCATTTAGTAAATATAGTCTTAGTATTATGATTTATTTTAGTAATATGCTTACTTTTCTAGACTAATTGTTCATTTGAATAATTAGTTGCTTGGTTGTTAAAGGGATAGATGGAGGTTAGCTAGGATAATAATCATATTTTGGGGGGCCAGCAGTGTGGTGTAGCAGATGGGCTGCCACCTGCAGAGTCAGCATCCCATATGGGCACTGGATGTCCTGGCTGCTCCACTTCTGATCCAGCTCCCTGCTGGTGTGCCTGGGAAAGCATCAGAGGATGGTCCAAGTCCTTGGACCTCTGTACCTATGTGGGAGACTGGAGGAGGCTCCTGGCTTCTGGCTTCAGCCTGGCCCAGCCCTGATTGTTGTGGCCATTTGGGGAGTGAACTAGCAAGTGGGGGATCTCTCTTCCTGTCTCTCCTTCTCTCTCTGTAACTCTGCCTTTGAAATGAATAAATAAATCTTTTAAAAATCATATTTTGTATCAGCATCCAGACAGCCAATGGTTTTGAGTGCTTTCTGCAGGCCAGGCATTGTGTGTGCTACTGGGTTATAGGAAAGCACAAGAGCATCAGTCTTGACTGTCAAGAATTTACATTATAGTGAGAGAGAGAGAGAGAGAGAGAGAGACAGAGAGAGAGAACTAGAAATTAATATACAACATGATTTCAGGGGCTTGTTAGTGCTGCAGGAAAAATAAAGCAGATAAATAAATTGCAGAATATTTTATAATGGTCTTGACTATATAGAGTGTAATTCAGTAGAAACTTGAATGGAATCAAGGATTGAACCCTCTGAATATTTGGGAAAGAGAAGCCCTAGAGAGAGAGAGCAGCAAACACAAAGAACTTGAGGAGGGAATGAGTGTGTCCAAGAAGGACTGAGGAGGATCTGACTGGGTGTGGGTGGGGACGGTGGTGGACTTTGGTGTGTGAGAACTAGGTAAGAGCCAGTCCTGGGTGACTTTAGGGACTTGGCAACAGTTTTAGATTTCACTGAAAATATAATGGAGAGCCTTGGACATTTCTGACAATTCATATTTGTAAGATCCCTGATGCTGTGAAGAAAGCAGAATACAGACATGCAAGAGAACCTGGGGGAACATTAGTGGGACTTGTCTCTGGATAACAGCTCAGTTTAGGCAGTACTGGTACTTGACACAGTCATGTTTCAGTATAAAATTTGAAAACAGGGTAAATAGGGTTTACTTGTGGATTTGATTGAAAGTGTGTGTCTGAGAGAGAGAGAGAGAGAGAGAGAGAGAGAGAGAGAGAGAGATTATGAGTCCTGGAGTTTTAGCCACAGAAACCAGAAAGATGCTAATGAAGTGGAGAAATCATGAGGAGAAATGGTTTAAGTTTTGTGGTGATTGTGGTACAGGTAGGAGATCAAGAGAACTTTTGGAGTTTAAGATGCCTACTAGATACCCTGATGGCAGTTGAAATTGTGGAAGATGTTCAAAGGAAAAGATGAAGCTGGAGAAGTTAGATAGATTTTAAGCTTAAAGTGGCATATAAAATGAAAAAAATTATATAACTCGGGGAAGTGACTATGGTTAGAGAAGACACATCTAGTATCTAGATATGTAGATGTCTGCATATCACCCTTGGGAAGGTCTAACATTTGGAGGTCAGCAAAGTATCCAGCAAAAAGATAGAAAAGCAGCAACTATTGAGTTAAAAGAGAATCATCAGTGTACAGTTTTCTGGGAGCCAAATTAAAAAGTATTTCCAGAAAAGAGAATAATCATCTGTGTCAAATGCTCCCAAGAGATTGAGTAAAATAAGGAATGAAAATTGACTCCTGGGTGAGACAACATGGAGGTAGTGATGGTATTACTATCAAAAGCCATTTCAATGGAGTGCTAGGGTTGAAAGCTTGATTGATGCAGGCTCAAGAAAGGATGCAGAAGCCCCAGGACTTAGGACAGTTTAGCACTTGGCGATGGTTAGAAATATGGGATTTGACCATAAAAGGATTGAAAATATGAGGGAATTTCGGAAGTTACAGAAATTTTGTTTTGATTGTTCTCATGGTCACATGACTGTAAAACTGTCAAAAATCATACAGTGTTTCAACAAGCAAATTTTAAAGTAATGTAAATTCAAAATAAAGTTTAAAGAATGGAGGAACTGAAACAAAGATGGCAACTCACTAAGAACTTGATAAAGGGAGATAGAGAAATGGAGCAGAATGGAGGAGACCATTGGATAAAAAATATGACGGCATGTGTTTTGGGAATAATCCAGAATAGAGAACTATTTTGGTGATGGAGCAGTTTTTTGAGAAAGGAAGAGGACCTTAGGTCTAATGCACTACTGGAGACTGTGTATTTGTGGTGGGGCGGAGAAGGTGGAATGTGTGGATGCAGAGCTAGGGAGACTGGCAGATAGGGTAGTGGAGACATGAAGAAATTTTCTAATTGTTGCTTCTATTTTCTCAATGAAACATGTGGAAGGAATGTAAGTTGAGAATTAAGAGGAATAATTTTGAATTTCGAGGTGAAAGGAGAAGGTACGAAATAGTGGTCATCAAAAATGGGCAAACAGGACTACAAAAATGTAGGAAGTTTGCCTGTTGATGGACACCCGAGATTTGGACTCCTAAATTTAAAGGAAGCTAGGTTAGCAGAGGTGTGCCTTTTGTATAAAGTCAGGTTTATTTGTTTAAGCACAGGTGTAAATGCAGAGAAGTATGTTCATCAGAAGAATGCTAAGGGAAAAGAGAGATGAAGGTGTACCCAGAGGAGTGTTGTGGTGATGGACTACAGAATCTGAGTCCTGTGAGAAGTGCGAACAGACATTATAGTAACTGTTAATGGAAAAGTAATCCTTTGGAGTCAAACACAAGCTGGAGATGGAGAGTTAGAGAAAGTGAGCCAGAAATTCAAGTAGAGAGGATGGATGTTGAAAAAGGGAGGTGATCCCGTTTTAAGTTAGACAGGAATGAAGAGTCATAGAGGGATAAAAACCAAATACTACTGATCATAAGAAGTGGAAGGAACTGAGATGCTAATTGCTATCTTTGCGTCTATTGAAAAAATCAAGCACAAAGTAATAATGGTGGCAGGAGCCCACACTGTGGCACAGCAGATTAAGGGGACACTTGCGATGCTGACATCTCATATGAGTACTGGTTCAAGACCTTACTGCTCCACTTCCAATCCAGCTCCTTGCTAGAGCATCTGAAAAAGCCATAGAAGATGGTCCAAATACTTGGAACCCTACCAACCCAAACCCAGATGGAGTTCCAAGCTCCTGGCTTCAGCCTGGCCCAGCCTTGGATGTTGTGGCCACTTAGGTGGTGAGCCAGTGAATAGAAGAGCCTTCTCTCTTTCTCTTTCTCTCTCTTTCTTTTTTCTTCCTTTCTCTCTCTCTCCCCTCCCCAATCTATCTGATTCTGCCTTTTAAATAAAATAAAATAAACTTTAAAAAATTAATGATGGAAAGAAAGACGAATAGTGAACCATTCCTATGAGATAAAAACTAAAATGATTGTTTCAGAAGTCTTGCTTTCCAGTACTACATGTCCCACTTTCTTCCTGATGCTGAGCCCTGATTGGGGGCAGAGATCTAAGCGTCCTGAGCATCCATGAGCATAACCAAGCAGACAACTAGTCCTGAGCAGTCCCCACAGCTCTTCATGAGGGGGCCTCCCACACCCTGCTCTGAGTTGTCCGACTCACCACAGATGAGTAGCAGGAGGCTCAGCAGCATGAGGACCAGGCCAGGGACAGTAACAGGAGATACTTCTTATCAGAAAAATAACTCACATCAGAGTGAAGAGACAGCAGGTTGTCAGAGGTTTGAGGAAGTCAGAGTCAAAAGTTACCCTTCAACACAAGTTTACAGAAATAGAAGAAGGAGGAAGAGCCCTTCAATGGTCAACCTCCATTTCCTCTCCAATGGAAAATAAAATTAAAGATGCTTCTTTTTGAAGTTTGGCTTAATTCTACCACTTAGAGATACTGCATATGAATATATGTGGACCTTCATCAAGAGCTCGGATGTCTCAAAGGAAGTTTCCCAAATGCAATTTATCACATTTATGAATCTCATCAGGTATAGTCCTGAAGAAACTCATATGCCACACTTTTAATTCTTTTTTTTAAAAAAAATATTTATTTGGAAGGTAGAGATACAGAGAAAGAGGGAAAGACACACATGCACAGAGAGAGAGAGAGAGACAGACAGACAGAGACAGAGACAGAGAAACAGAGAGAGACAGAGAGACAGAGACAGAGAGAGGAAGGGAGGGAGGGAGGAAGAGAGAGAAATCTTCCATCTGCTGGCTCACTTCCCAAATGTCCACAATGGCCAGGGCTGAACCAGGCTGAAACCAGGAATGCTGTGCTTCATCCAGGTGTCCCACATGTGTGCAGGGACCCAAGCACTTGGTCCATCTTCTGCTGCTTTTCCAGGCACATTAGCAGGGAGCTGGATCAGAAGTGGAGCAGCTGGGACATGAACTGGCACCCATATGGGATGTTGGCATTTTAGGCAGCTTAACCTGCTATGGTAAAACACTGGCCACCACGCTTTTCATCCTCGATAAGGCTGTCTGTCTCCTGGATTATGTCTCATTGGTACATCTTTCTTCCTCAGAAGTCACTAGTATAGTCACATTATGAAAACGTGCCAGTCAACCAGGAGCTGATGGAGCTGTCTCCTAGGTTGTGCTTTTGAAGGTTGTATGCTGATTTATCAAGCTAGTCATACAGATATGAGGTTCCCATAATTAAATCTTTCATATATCAATAAATAATCATGAAATAGTGAAGAAAAACAAAATCATGGGCAATTACAAGAGGAGAGCTATTTGAAAGTGAAATACAGAAAATCTACATATGCAAATTAGCTTCTGGGTCATTAGCATCAACTCTTGCATTTGTAATCTTGCCCCTTCCCTTACCCAAAATCATATCTCTAATCTCTCCCATAGCTTTTTTTTTTTTTGAAAAGAAGATTTTTATGTATTTATTCATTTGAGAAGTAGAGTTACAGACAGTAAGAGTAAGAGGCAGAGAGAAAGGTCTTCCATCCACTGGTTCATTTCCCAAATGGCCACAATGGTCAGAGCTGGGCAGATCTGAAGCCAGGAGCTAGGAGCTTCTTCCAGATCTTCCATGTAGGTACAGGGGCCCAAGGACTTGGGCTATCCTATACTGCTTTCCCAGGCCATAGCCAAGAGCTGGATCAGAAGAGGAGCAGCAAGGACTAGAACCAGTGCCATATGGGATGCTGGCACCACAGGCGGAGACTTAGCCCACTACTCCACAGTACCAGGCCTGCTTCTTTAAGCACATTAGATCTGCCTGTTCTCAACATCTGAAGCCTAGGGATAAGTCCGATGATGGATTAGAGGAGAAAAGGCCTTATAATCTTCAACATTTCTTGAATCTTTGAGTATCTAAAATTAATAATAACCAATGTGTGGAAGGTAAGCTATAAGGGGACATGAAAATGTACCATCCAGTAATGATATTCAAGTTCAGTTAACAAGTGCAAACAGGAAGACTGAGAAATGAAGCTAGTGGACCATGATATGTAAGACTGGAGATAAGGAGGAGCAGTGTTGGGAACCAGGCTAAAGGCTGGACCTTGGTAAAAACAAGAGAGTTGTGATCCCCACTTTCTTTATTGGCTCGGGAAAGGATTTGTGGAATAAGTTTGCTCAGTTTAAAGTTTCAGGGCCAAAGCAGAAATTTTTCACCTTTGAAATTTTAGGCCCACTAAATTAGGGTGTAAAGTTGTTGTTTCAGTCACCATGCTGATCTACATTTCTTCCTGTGATCATGTGTGTCCTGCTTCAGTTCCTTCACAGTTTGTTGGGATTAAAATATGTCTTCTAGTCTTCTTCACGGGTTTAAAGGCTGTGTGTTACATTAAACTGTCTAATTTTATTTTTATAATTTAATAGTTGCTAAATGCATTGTAAAAAGGAAAAATATAAATTATGAAATTTTAGGATAAAATGAAAAACCATGAACTCATCTACCATTTAGTTTAAGAACTAAAGTTCAGCTAATACTATTGCATCTACTTGAGTGTGTAATTTGTTACCCACTCTCCATATATTTTCAGAGCTCACCATCATTCTGAATATTTTATTGATTTTTCCTTTATAGAAGTATAATTAATACAATTGATATTAACCCTGTATAAGTGTATGCAAAATGATTTTTGACAAACGTATACACAGACATAAATATAGTTATAGTCATGATCTAGAACATTTCTATCATGTCAGTAGGTATTTTTAGTTACTTTATTTCATTGCTCATTCTGTATTTCCTTTGGCTTCAGCAAGCTCTTCAGCTGGCCATGGTTCTTCACCATGTAGTATGACCCAGTTTTAGTTCCTGAAAAGTCTGGGCTATCAATGGTCCTTCTTGAAGCAAGTTACCATAGTTTTACACTGACCTTAATCATAAAGCCTGGTAACATTATGAGAAACCATAAGGGGCCACCTGTATTCCAGACATGTTTCCTTACCTCCATCATGGAGTAGTAGTCTAATCTCTCCTTGGTAGTCAAGATCAAGTGCCGCAGCCAGCAGAGATACTCCCTTCTTTGCACACCGATTCAAAGGCATGAAGAGTGCAAGATGGCCGAGTGAAAGTCTTAACTTCCAGTTCCATGTACTCATTGCTGTATCTCCGGCCCCATACCCAGAAATCTTAACTGAAGAAAGTATGGGGGGCAGGGAGAGTGCGGCGCTGTGGCGTAGTGGGTAAAGCCGCTGCTTGCAGTGCCGGCATCCCATACGGGCACTGTCCCAGCTGCTCCTCTCTCTGACCCAGCTCTCTGCTATGGCCAAATAACCAAGGTGGCCCAAGTGCTTAGGCCCCTGCACTCACTTGGGAGACATGGAAGAAGCTCCTGGCTCCTGGCTCCTGGCTTCAGATTTGCTCAGCTCTAGCCGATGCAGCCATTTAGGAAGTGAACCAGTGGATGGAAGACCTTTCTCTCTGTCTCTCCTTCTTACTGTAACTCTACCTCTCAAATAAATAAATAAAATCTTTTTAAAAATTCCATTGATCACATGAACTTCATAAACTCCTACTCTAACTGGTGTGCCATAATTGACATTTTAGGTCTCCTGAATTCAGTATCAGTTCAGAACCAGTGTCCAGCAGTCCCTAACTTATTTTCCCTAATGCCCAGTTACCCTAGTAAAAGACGATATGACTCTTGGTGGTGGGGGAACTAAGGAAAAGATTAACAATATAAAGTTTTGGTAGTACCTTATGGTCCTTCTTCAGTGACACCTAGCATCCCTTTATTCAAGAGATTCTGGCTTTGTAAATGACTCAAAACCAAGAATTAATTGAGGCATATTATTTTTGTTTATGACTTGGATTTTACTTGTTCGCTTGATCTAGAATGTCTCTGCTTATGCAACTGAAGAAAAAATTTAATAGCTTTCCTGTCTATTTCACTTCTAGGAAAACATGATCAGCTAGTCAACATCATAGGTCTCTGTGAGTCAGACTATTGGATTACTGCTTTGACTTTCCCATCAACTATCATATCTATTTGCCTTTGTCAGTTAAAAAACTGCCTCTTGGACTCTTCCATTCTGGATCCAATTATTATTACTGTGCTTAGGTTCCCTAATTCAGTGACTGCAGTTTCCTCTGCAAAGTCTGTCCTACAGAGAAGGTCAGTAACAGAGCTCACTGAGTAGTCCAGATGTGATGAAAGGAGTATTTTCTGAACTCTAACAGTGTGGGTGATAAGGTCTTTTTTTTTAATTTTTTTTTAATTTTTTTTTTATTTTGACAGACAGAGTGGACAGTGAGAGAGAGAGAGAGACAGAGAGAAAGGTCTTCCTTTGCCGTTGGTTCACCCTCCAATGGCGCGCTGCGGCCGGCGCACCACGCTGATCAAAAGGCAGAAGCCAGGAGCCAGGTGCTTTTCCTGGTCTCCCATGGGATGCAGGGCCCAAGCACCTGGGCCATCCTCCACTGCACTCCCTGGCCACAGCAGAGAGCTGGCCTGGAAGAGGGGCAACCGGGACAGAATCCGGCGCCCCGACCGGGACTAGAACCCGGTGTGCTGGTGCCGCTAGGTGGAGGATTAGCCTAGTGAGCCGCGACGCCGGCCCAATAAGGTCTTAAATGACAAAGATAAACCAATGTTCCAGTTGCCCTAGGCCTTTGAGTCCCCTTCTCTACTTTAAACCAAGGCAATGTGTGCTCCCTCATTCATTCGTTGTCTGCTACATTTTGGCCCATGTTTTGGCCAAATAACCAAACTATTAGAGCCCTCCCTAGCTCCCTGGATTGCAAATTAAATAACGAATACATTCTTAGGAAGCTCATATCAATTAATTTAGCCTGATCCAACTTTGAGTTTCCTCTACCCTTATCCTACATCTTTAGTAACCATTCTCAAATGTTTCCAAATTTATGTCTATATAAGTCAGAAAACAGTACTTCTTTGGGCACCTACACATTGGTCACACTTTGCCTCATCTTTAGAAACCTGCTGGAATATGAGTCTAGTTACAGGTCTAGAGGCAAAGAAGATCAGTGGAGAAGAGTTATGAGAAGAATTAATATTATATTTTACGTCATCTGGCTATACTGTTGGGTTAGATTGTGGTTCACTTGATCTAGAATGTTTCTGCTTATACACATAAAGTAAAAATTTAGTAGCTTTTCTATCAATTTACTCCCCTTAAAGAGGAGGTCTTTACCAAGTGTCTGGTAATAACAATAGATAGAATTAAAAAGGAGAGAATTTTCCAACATAAGAAGCAGTTTACACAGTAGACGCAGAATGACAAACATCCTAAACCACA